TTTTTGAGTTGGGAGTCTTACTCTGTCACACAGACTGGAGTGCAGTGGCACGCTTCCGGCCACTGCAGCCTCTACCTGCTGGGCTCCAGTGATCCCTCGGCCTCGGCCTTCCAAGTAGCTGGAACTGCAGGCATGCGCTACCACACCCGGCTAATTTTTTATTTATTGTAGAGATGAGGTCTCACCAAGTTGCTGGGGCGGGTCTCAAACCCGTGGGCTCAGGCAATCCACTCACCTTGGCCTCCCAAAACACTGGGATTACAGGCTGAGCCACCGAGCCCGTTCATTTTATTACTTTTTTATTTATAGAGACAAGGTCTCACTATGTTGCCCAGGCTGGTCTCAAACTCCTGGACTCAAGCAATCCATCCCTCTTAGCCTTCCAAAGTGCTGAGATTACAGATGTGAGTCGTTGTGCCTGGCATTTTTTCTTTTTGAGTTGGAGTCTCACTCCGTCGCCCAGACTGGAGTGTATTGGCACACCCCCGACCACCGCAGCCTCTACCTGCTGGGCTTCAGTGATCCTTCTGCCTTGGCCTTCCAAGTAGCTGAAACTACAGGCACGCACTACCACACCGGCTAATTTTTGATTTATTGTAGAGATGAGGTCTCACCAAGTTGCCCAGGCGGGTCTCGAACCCGTGGGCTTAGGCAATCCACTCACCTCGGCCTCCCAAAACACTGGGATTACAGGCTGAGCCACTGAACCCGGCCCTTTTCTTTTTTTTTAATAGAAGCAGGATCTCACTATGTGAGGTTTTTCATAGAGGCTGGTTTCAAACTTCTGGCCTCTAGCCATCCCCAATGTGCTGGGTATACAGGTAGGAGCCACCATGCCCGGCTACAACAATAGAAATGCATTGCTCATAGTTCTGGAGGTTGGGAAATCCAAGATCAAGGCACCAGCAAATTTGGTGTCAGGGGAGGTCCTGTTTCTCATAGACGGAGCCTTCCAGCCATGCAAAAGGGACAAACTGAAAGAAGTTCGGCGCCAGTAATGACTCCACCTGGCCAGGACCAAGAGATTTATTACAGGGGGGTTGTTACAGAGAGGAGCTGTAATGGGAAAAAAAGAAAAAGGGAGAGAGAGAGTAAGAGAGAGAGAGGAAGTGGGAGAGAGGCGGGGAGAGAGCTACAGAGAGGTAGAGAGCGACAGAAAGAGAGACCGAGAGAGAGTGTTGCGGGGAGAGGGCTGTATTTATCAGCCTGACAGGGGCCGGAAGGGGCCGTGCTATGTTCCTATTGGAGGAGCTGCATGGGAGCAGGGTGGGGCCAACGCCGTGTTATAGTCCTATTGGATGCATAACAAAGCTGGCTACAGATTGGAGGCTTGCAAGTTAGAAATTGGCGCGCGGGAAGGTTTGAAATTCGCGCGCGGGGGAATTGTGCTCACAGAAGCCGGGACCTGGGGCCTTTGTTGTCTGGTGTGTCGGCGCCATTTTGGGAGCCGCCCCTCTGGCCGCTTCCTGCCCCCTTCACAAACTCCATCAGCCCTCTTTTATTTTTAGTTTTGATTTTTATTATTGATTGATTGATTTTTCAGATACTAGATCTTGCTCTGTCTCCCAAGCTGAAGTGCAGGAGCATAATCACGGCTCACCACAGCCTCCAACTCTTGAACTCAACTGATCTTCCCACCTTGGCCTCCTGAGGAACTGGGACTAGAGGAATGCGCCACACCTGGATTTTTTTTTTTTTTAGAGGTGGGGGGGTCTCATTGTATTGCCCAGGCTTCTCTCAGACCTCTTTTATAAGGGCTCTAATCTTATTCATGACAGGGATCCCTTATAACCTAGTCACCTCCCAAAGGCCCCACCTCTTAATACCATCACATTGGTGACTAGGTTTCAACGTGTGAATTTTGAGGGATGCCAGGCCCGGACCTCTGCGGGATGAGGGGCCCAGGTCAGGGGGACCTCGTCCCTGCCCCCAAAGCCAAAATTCATGAGTAGAAACCTAATTCAGACTACAGCACCCTCAGGACCAATTGGATGGGCAGAGTTCTAGAGTGAGGTTGGTGAGCTGCTTTGCTTTAGAAAGAGAACCCCCTTCTGGGAGTGGCTTGTTGTCATTCATGCGAGGAGAGGACTCATATCTCCCCAAGATGCTTCCGGTGGGCCTTTCTCATTGTAGGGCCACTGGCCTAGAAATGGCCCCAACTGGAAGCTATGACTGGAGCCTGGTGGAGGCTTTGGAGCCAGTCTGGAGATCAGGACTCCAGGATCCAAGAGTTCAATGCCCTCACATGCTGTCCGGACACTAGGTAAGTCCCTTTCTAGCTGGGCCCCTACTCCTCCCCTTCCAGTGGAGATGGTGTACACAGGCCGGGTTCCCCTCTCCGACCCTCAGAAGAGGCTGGAGGGAGACCGAAGGTGCCTGCAAGAAGTAGACCTTCCAGGAGGGGGCCGGGAGAGGGAGGAGCCACTCTCTCCTCCAGCTCTGTTTTCCCAGCCCCAGAACAGAGCCGGGAAAATCTTCAAGTGCCGCAATAGACAGCAGTCTTGCTGTTCTCCTGCCCAGTGTGTCCTTCACAATGCATCTTCAAGTGCATTCATTCTCTCAAGGGATCCTCGTAAACCCTCCCAGACAGGTGGCACCAGCCCGATTTACCAGCGAGCACTCCGAGGCTCAGGGAAAGTGACCTGAGATCGGTGGCAGACACTCAGGAGAACCCACCTCTGGTGCCTCCGGGCCCCTCCCCTTTCCTGTTCCTCTCGGTAGAGAGGCTGAAGACCCCTTTCCATCCCAGCAGCATCCTAAGGACCCTGGCTGTGCCCAGGGGAGGCTGCATCCCCTGCCTTGGGGGATGGCTGGGTAAGTCGCCAGGGGCTCTGGGTTCCCCTAGTTCTTTCTTTCTTTCTTTCTTTCTTTTTTTTTTGAGTTGGAGTCTCACTCTGTCGCCCAGACTGGAGTGCAGTGGCCGCTCCCGGCCACCGCAGCCTCGACCTGCTGGGCTCAGGTGATCCTCCCGTCTCAGCCTTCCAAGTAGCCGAAACTACAAGCGTGCGCTACCACGCCCGGGTAATTTTTTTTATTTATTGTAGAGATGAGGTCTCCAAGTTGCCCGGGCGGGTCTCGAACCCGCGGGCTCAGACAATCCACTCGCCTCGGCCTCCCAAAG